ACAATAAAAATCACACCAAACTTGCACACAAACTAGCGGTGATAATTTAACCATAAACCTTTTAGTGGCATGAAAGTTAATAACAGAACCAAGAATATAGAATCACACATTACAAAAGAATAATCAAAACACAAATAGAAACCTTTACAACACACACTCATATAATGACACATATATTTAACTTCAAAATTGATACCTGAAATAATTACTCTATCCTGCACTGGGAATTCCCTTGGAAATTTAATTTATAATCTAAATTTGTGCTATTTAATTACATGCACATGAAACAAAAAATCAATTTACAATCTCCTGCTGTCAAAATATTACAGCAAAGAACAAAATGTGTGCAAGTGCACTACCTCATTTCAATTCAACTGTGTCAGAAAATAGCAGAATAATAAATGTCCTAATAGACATGTTTTATGCAGGCAATAGCGCACTCAAAATGTCTCCTACAATAATATATTACACTTATAACCTACTATATTGTTTTCCACCCGTCCTCAATTCTAAACTTTTCTATACTAAGTTTTTCCCTGTCGACGTGAACTTGACCTATTGTTCCGCGCCCTAACCTTTACCCTGCGGTGGACTTCCCACTTTTGGCCTTGATGTCGTGCCTTGAGTCTCTGCGTCGACGTCGCTCGGTCCCAGCTTCTGCTCGTAAGAAACCGGGATTCGCCTCTGCGGTCTACGCTGCTTCTTGCGTCCTCCTTCCGTTCTTCTTCGTAGTCGCAATCCGTCGTTCTTCCTCGTGCGCCTGGGTCCTCCCGGCCTCTTCTTTCTATCCTCGTCATGCTACACGGCAGCACTCTAACTACGGCCCACGAAATGTCCCTGCACTTCACTGAATACTCGTGCCAAGTTCTCGCCCGTTGCCTACTTCTACTTTGCTTGTAAACCAGAACTTTCAATGCTTCTTTCACAAGGGGTAACTTTTACTTTTCGCGTGTCATTAATTGAAGAAACACTTTACTGAATCTGCCACTATCTTGCGACGATGACTAGAAAGCGTCTGTTCGACGCCGAATACTTCGCTACCTAGTAGTCGTTGCAGCGGCACAACAATATCTAACTAATTTTAACGAAAGTTTTGGGCTCGGCGACGATGATCAAAATGCTACTGGCTCGACGTCGGTGGTAAAGAGAGAGCTTCCGCTTAGCGGATTCGGTATTTTTCTCCGACTCCTGCGGTAAATTCTCGAGTTGTGGGCTGCTTCCCCTGCTCTCAACCCTTCACAAGGAAAACATTGCTTGCTAGTTTAGCCTTCGTTTAGTACGGGCAACGGATACCAGGCCGCGCGTTTACGAACCTCGTTTTTCCTGCGCCTGCTATCCTCGCTGCTCCGTAGTGTTCACATATGAGACATAGGTTATGGGTTGCACAATCCCATAACGCCACAATATATATATAATTTGATTGGCCACAGTTGGACCACTTGAGTCGTTCCACTCATTTACTGTTCATGGTCGACTGTTGAAGGTGTCACCTTGAGGTGAGGATAAAATCCTCGATTTACAATTCGAATGTTATTCAGAAAGGTGATAATGAGAGATAGAGGATGATGATTATGATCTGTGAGAAGACTGAAAACACCGACCATGTCTACGCAGGACTTCGAAAACCTGCAGCCTCCTCGCACAGACGACGCTGCCGCAACCGTCTGCGCCACGGGGCCGACAGTTTATTATACACACACACATTTAGAAATTATTTAAAATATATGAATTAAATATTGTTGGCCTTCAGGGAATATCCAAATCTGTTAAAGAAAATCGTTTCACATGGACATGGGCTTAAGTTTTCCTTCGCCGACTACGTTCTATAGATAACAAATAATGCTGAAAAACATGAGTTTTATCGCGTCGTGGACCTATAAAACGTTGTTTCGTGAGAAGCACCTACTTTTCGTCATTCAAAATATACAAAACTAGGAAATTTGTACTGGAAAGAATTTATTTATTCAAAATACACATATGTTCCTTGCAATTCTAAACAATGTAGTAGATTACAATAAAATATGATATAAGACTATTACATTTCATTTGAGGGTATGGCAGGTACGGATGGTGCGAATAGTTAGAATTTAGTACAGCTCCCAGTTTGTACGCTTTTTTGATACACAAAAATTAACATAATTAACACGTAATATCTGTAAGCTGCTCTTCAGCGTTATTCTCATATAATTCTTAATTACTTCTAACAATTGTCGCAGAATTTTCTACAATAACATTTTATTCTACCCAGGATTTGCTTTCCGCTTCCATATTTTTGTCACAGAATTTGAGAAGAGATTAAAACTCCGCCAAGTCAGTCTAATTGTGTTCACTTCTACTTCTGCAATTGCTCTATTTATAGTTTTGTATGCGAATCGGTATAAACATTTAAGGGCGACTGTTTTGTATGTTTATGTGAATAAGATGTTAAGTTTCATAAAAATAAGTAGTTAGCCACATTTATTTCAAAATCGGTATTTGCACGCTTAAGAACGCAACTGTGAGAAGTGGAACGTAATAAGTTAAATGTGCATTCACCTTGTAGCATTACTCACGGTTTGATTTTCTCCATATTCACTAAAAGTTCAATAAGTTCCACCGCAATACTGTTCGTAGGTTTTTGGGAATGTATTTTAAAAAATGCGTTAATACGGATACAAATTAAATGAATTCCGCTGCGAGGCGATTCGCATGTCGCGTTCAACGTTAACTACATAGTTTTATTTAGGTCGCGATGGTTTAATTCCCGGCATAGTCACTAAGACGGCGGCGCTAAAACACGTCTTTGGAAATTTATTAGAATCTTCTGTCCGAAAACAAATTATCAGTTCCCCACCAGGAGACCGAGACGCGTCGAATGACACCGTATATCCCTCGATTGGTGCACGGCAATTGGTCTCACCGTGAGTGACGGATCCGCACACGCACTGGTACTCAAATACTGTAAAGGTTTTTTTATTTATCAAAATACAGAAAAAAGTATATATTTCATAATTCGTTCGAAGTTCGAAGATCCGCGAAATATATTATATATTATATATATATATATATATATATTATTATTATTATTATTATTAATTGGCCTGACATGAGGGGGGGGGCAGATGCAGCCCATAAATCTCTCCTCTACTTAACTGAAATGAAGAAGACATTTCATTAAAATCCGCCCCCTAATTATAACAAAATCTCGATTTTAACATATTTTCAATATTTGGCGCATTTCGGAATACTGTCGGACATAATTTCCCTTATGCTTTGGAAATTCCCCTACTCGCAAGTCGGGAATATATCAATTTCCAAAACACTCATGGAATTGCATGTTCCATCAAAACCAAAATCATATTGACATTTCACAAGATCTTGAAATGTCATGTCAAATTTTTCGAAAATACGAGTCTTTTTTGCGCAATTTTGTATGAAATAGGCATTTTTAATTTTCTTTACACAATTTTTTGATTAAATTTGAACCTCGCATAGCGTAAAGGACACTTACGAGAATGGTACATATCTCCATGTTCGTTGAAATGCCCGACTTTTCGAAAATTAAAAGAGCGTCTTTCTACAACTACAATTGTACATAAATAGTTTTTCCTTCATGAAAGGTGTTCACCAAAAACAAATGTGAAGTTGAATTCTTTAGAAAATGAGTATGTTTTGAGCAATTTGGTGTCACAGTCGCCCACTCCGAATTTCCTGTGCTTCGTGGACGTAATACGAATGATTCCAGTTGGATGCTTTGCACGTAAGAATTTGTATATTACGTCGTACATCTTTGTTCGTTTCTTACCTTTGAGCTTTTGTAATACGTTTACAAATTAATACTTTAGAAATTATTTAAAACCTATTCGAAAATATGAAAGAAAAATTGCTAACCTTGAGGGAAAATGAGATTGGAAAGCAATAATGGCAATACGCGTGCAATTCGGCAGCTGAATTTCAGAGTTACATTTCATTATTGGAACATATTATTAACATAACCATAACTAAAGGCGAGAAAGTAGTACTTTTTTCGCGCCACTAGTTTCGATTATCTGGGAGGTGTATAACCTACTCACGAACCGCAGATGTCATCTGATCGTTACAGAAGAGACGAACTCGTCAAGCAACACATCCAGAAAATAAACACATATACAAGTCCATTTACACCTAAAAAATTGATGACATTTTAAAATTCAAAAAATTAACTTCACACAATGGTGTCATTAACCACTAATGGGAAATATTTGCTACCACATAACATTGCAAGTGTATACATTTATCAGGGAGAAAATGAATATGTTGATATTCTCTATAACCATTTTTCATTAAAATAAATAAATAAAATGAACAACATCAAAGCTAATAAGAAAACACTTCTACAAAATTTAATTTTTCAAGATCAAATAATGACATACATGTTTGAAATACCAAACATTAGTTACAATCACAATCACTCATCTTTTTAAAACTTAATTTTAAAATAATGTACAATATTTGCAATTACAGACAAGAGCTACCTAAAACAATACAAAATAATTGATTTATCACACAAATTTTGTTTACACACATTCTCAAGTATCAATACCTAAAACTTCAATGGCATTCATTTATAACTAATGTTCATATGATATTCACTACATATAGTACTTCAAACTATAACAAGCAAATATAAAAGAAGTTATTAAATATTTTGATTGAAAGGTAAAAAAAGACCCTACATTAAATCTCATTAAAACTATTTGTACACGTAAGCTTCCGCGGCTCAAATCCATAAATTTTCCGAGACGTTGCGTCGTTGGCTGGGAGGCCGACGTTTCCTCACTGCCTTGAGCAAGCCTGCGACATGTTAGGCGAAACGTCGGCCTCCCAGCCAACAACGCTGCGTCTCCCGGATAGCCGAGAATTTATTAAAACTATTTACTAAATTCATGCAAATCAAAGTTAAACTAGAGAAATCAATAAAATAATTCTTTCTTTTAGTAATAATAAAATGATCTGTGATTTTTAATTTACATGAATAATATCATCGCTCTCCTAGGATACAGTTGTAACTAAAAAAATAAAATAAAATTTAAAAAATCATTTTTAATGTGAGATAAGTAATTGAATTTTAAATTGAAAACTTAAAGAATCTGAAACTGTACCTATCTTCTTCGTGGCAGATGCAATTCACTTTTATGGAATAACATTGCCCAAAAATTCACTGCATTCACTTTTATGGAATAACATTGCCCAAAAGTTGAGTTTTGGAAAATCTATTTTAATAAATTAAAAAATACTTAAACAACCTTCTGATATAACCTGCAATATGATATTCCTTGTCCATGATTACCAGGAAGCGAATTAAATTGCAGGAAAATTAAATTGTCCTCTCTTGAGAAAATGATTTTTGGAATTACAATCGTGTTCTGGAAAAGCGATGATTGCTTAATTTATGCCTATTCAACTACATTCGATGTTTATCTTTTAAATAGCATTGCAAGCTACTGAAGCTTGAGAGTCTCTGAGAAATAGTAGGATCATTTTAGATTCAGGTCAACACTGACTGAATTGTTTTAATTCCTTACTGTAAATGTCTCGCATTATTTTTCCATAAAATATGTATTACATTCAAGTAGTAATTAATATAAAATACTTGTAAAACTCTTGGAGGGAAATTGAAAAGCCTGTGTGCAGCAGTCCTGTAGAAACTATGTACATTACCTACCAGTTTCATCTTACTGACATTTCAGTATTTCCTGTGTTTGTCATTGACTTAAAACATAGACCAGAGTTCGGACTTGCTTGTCACAAGGCAATGGAAACAGATTGATGGACACACATTTAAGTAATTTAATATAAATGTACAACAAACTTTTATCAGTGTGCCAGACTACAAACCCATCCTTCCTTAATATTCACTGAATAGTAAAAGTACCATCGCCCTGAAGAATAAAAAACTAATTCACATTGTCAGAATTACCTTTTCATAAAATATGATCAATCTAAGTATTAATAAGCATGAGTATAGAGAAAAAAAGTTCAAGATTAAAAAAAAAAAATTATATATATATATATATATATATATTTGAATTATTGAAGTCTTGAGTTACTGAAATTCTACTGTAAAACAACCACCCCCAAAACAGAATCCTTCATTTCTAGAACCATTTGAAGTTTAACCACTACACAATAAATGTGTGTTCCATCTTATTTTATACATGTTGGTAAGGTTGTATAAAAATGGTAAATTCAGGGGCAAAAATGGATGGATTGACCCTCCAATACACCTGAAATTGTTTAAATTTGTGTATATACATTGTCAATTTATAAATTTAAGGTTAACTCTTTGCAAGAGGAAGAGACCTCTTTCTAGTGAATTACTTTTAGAGTATTTTGCCTGTTGATGCAATTATAAAATAAAAATACATAAATGGTATTTCTACTACATAGGGGCACAAGGACTACTGTAAATAAATTCTCAGAGACAGATGAAAAATTTCTGCTGGTGGCGTTGTTTATTCTTCCTCATTTCTAAAACAATGAAAATTTAAATGATAATTAATTACACATTGACAATACAAATGAACAATTTCACAATTATTAGAATAATAACATCATATTTTATAAGACGTTTCAATATTTTCAAAGAATAATTTCTATGTTAGACTTTAAAAGAGCAAGCAAAGCATGCATGCAAAAAATTAGATACAACCGCAAAAAAAATATAAAAATGAAAGTAGGAGTACTCTTATAGCTGGACCTCAGATGTTTAGGGTCTACTATCTCAGATAGAATACACTTCATAATTTCTTACAGCCTATATATTTGATTTAAAAATTACTTTTCCCCACAGAATGAGAAAGCACATAGAAATGTAGAGGCTACAATTTGTTTTTCTGGCAAACCATTCTCTTATATGCAGAAAGTGAACGTTTTACATTTTTCCTCATGAGAGTGATGCACTTATTAACATTAGAGTAAGTGGGGCATTAACTGTGTCTGCCTCTTTTGATGCAGAGTGCAGCCAGGATTGACGAGAATTCTTAATTACTACAGAAAGAATGATTTAGTGATGCATGAAAGAATGAAAATACAGAAAAATTCAATCTGACTTTCTGTCTAAAGATGGTTCCTGATTTTGACACCTTCAATTAAAGTGAATTCATAATGTTTATGTTGTTCAGGACAAATAAATATTTGTAACTAATTTGTGATAAGTCAGTTGCTTCAAAGAATGACAATACATAAAATAATTGTCAAATGTTGCTTTCAATTTCTTATTTCCTGATTTCCAGAATATTAAGTATTATGATCTTGCAGTGCCAATTTTTCAACATAAAAATTTGTTTTATGAAACCCTGACAACACTAAAGTATATTTTTCTGCTGTCTGCATGAAGTGTAGTCAAAATCCTTATTTAGTAGATATGTCAAAATACTGTTCTTTTGGAAAATTTTCTGTATGTGGCCAACACTTCCACCCAAACCATTCATACAATTTTCTTCAAAATGTATATTGATTCATTTGGCCGCACATGAAGCTCTGCAAATTTGAAATCGATTTCAAATTAGATGCTGCTATACATGATGACTCTATGAAATGTTGGCTCGTAGAGTCACAGCAGTTATGTGTCCTTCCTGATTTTAGATTTTGTGTAATCAATAACTCCATCTCATTTTGGCTAGTAATATGTCTGAAAGTAACATTACCAATGGTAATTGTGGATTTGGTGTTCTTGAGGACTAGATGAAGGATAGTTAATCAAGGTTAAGAGATAATTGACACAACCTTGACCATTTATTTTCCTGAAGTAAATCATGTAAAACATCAAAATCTTTAGTTGGGTTAGCGAAGACTTTTGTATCAACTTAACTGTTCCAACAGCTGACCTAACACTGTCTCTCAAATCGCAGGCATAAAGGATGAAGAGGATTGGTCCAAGAACTGATCTTTGTGGGAAATCCCTTTTAACTTGGTGATGTGTTGAGAGACTAATGCCAATTCTGATCATAAAATTTGGCTGGAGAAGTTATCTTTGAATCCAGAAGTATAACTTTCCTATCTCACAAGCTTGGCCAGTCGCCCTGAAACATTTGCAGATGTAGAAGTCGAAACTATATCAACAGATATGTAAAATCTTGAAAATTCAAACAAATCTGAATTCAAGCAACAAATTGGAATTCAACACCTATGCTCAGTACGAAACATTCATAAAATGACTCCCAAGCGAGATAAAATCAAAACAAGAGCCCTTTGTGGCAAATGTACGTGAGGAGAAGGGAAGACATGTCATTTCTCTTGACATAATGCGTTTTATGCCCACAAGCTGTTTGACTGGGCAAGATAAACAGAGATATCAGCCTTCTATATCGTAGAGTTTGCAATGGTCATCAAGGGCAGGCTGTCTTGCTTCCGTCCGCCCAGGCCTAGGCAGCCTGGGAAGATTTGTCTCCTTTCTTAAGTATTGGAGTAATGATTGCATACATCCATGGTTTTGGGACGAAAGCAGTTTCCATAAAATTCTTGAATAATTAGTTCAGCAGTGGAGCAAATTGTAGTGCATATATCTTCATAGAAACCACTGGAATGGAGTTTTGGGCTTTTCCTTTTAAATTCCCAATAAGAATAGAGTGAAATATACTAACAAAGATAGCAAAGGTCCTATTTTCACTGTTATGTCAAATTTTCAATGTAGTGAAAGTTTGAAATTTTTTGGACCCTTTCATCAATTACTTTATATGGTTTTATACCTGGCAGATCCACGACCACCAATCTGCTGGGTGCATTGGACAAGGGCGAAAGATGAAGGCTGCCCCATAGACATCATCTACCTAAACTATGCCAAAGCCTTCGATAAGATTCCGTATACAAGAATGCTACACAAGCTGTGGGCTATAGGGTTTAGAGAAAAATTACTTCACTAGATTGAAGATTATCTGACTGACAGAACATTTCAAGTTCATATTAGAAGAACCCTCTCTTCACCATGACCTGTTACAAGTGGTGTTCCTCAAGGCTCTGATCTGGGACCAGTCTTGTTTCTTTTGTACACGGCAGATCTTGGAAAAGACATGAGCTCAAAGTGGAATAGTTATACTGATGATACTAATTTGTAAGGAAACCTTATATTGCAGCAAGTGGACCTTCAAGGAGATTTGCAAAGGATAGAGGAGTGGTCTGATTTGTAGGTACTTCCATTGAATAGCAATATTTGCACAGTCATTTACTTGAGCAAAAACAACTTCAGAAACGTGTACCACATTGGTAGACATGCAGTACAACCAGTGACAGGTTGACTTAGGCATGGTTGTAACCCAAGATATGAAATGGGACAGACAGATTTCAACAGTTGCCAAGAGAGCAATTTCTGCAATGTAGCTGATGAGAGTATTCTTGAGAATTAAGGCATCAGAGATAAAGAAACTGTACGTCACGTATATCAGGCAAATTTTGGAATATGCCAATTCAGTATGGTCTCCTTACTACAAAAAAGAAATTGAGGCTTAGGAGAAAGTGCAGAGAAAAATGATCAAGTCTGCTATCGAGCTATGGAGCAGAGTGTATGAGGAGAGATGTCGGGCAGTCAAACTGCCAATTCTAAGCCCAGGAGACTACAAAGATATCTAATCAAAATATTTAAGATTATGAATGGAGGATATGATGAAAGGATCCTCACAAATTTCTTTGAGAAAAGTCTGGTTTCTCACCTCAGGGGTCCCTCTTCGAAGTTGTGCCAAGAGAACATAAGGATACAGCAATACTATTCTTGAGTGGTAAGTGTGAACAGAGTGGTGAACTCGTGGAATGGATTGCCAGCACAGGGTGTTGGTGGAAACTACCCCGAGTTCTTTTAAGTCAGCCTTACAAGATATAAGGGATCTATTAAATTTTGATATGAGTCACTGTTTTTGTTTTTTTGCTAAAGTTATGTTATAAGAAGTAAGCTACATGAGGTATTATATGATAAATTTGTCGATTTATATTAAACATGCAGTTTTTGTATGATAGGAGTGAAACAAGCGAAATTGCTGCTGCCATTACAAAATAAATAAATAGAGATTTTTTCTTCAAATTAAATTTTCTTCTTCACAATTAGTACTTTAATGAATGTCAGGACCACTTTTTGAAAATATTATTAGTTTTCTTGTATTTTTGAATGAAAATAAGCAAATTTAAAAATAATGTGTTCTCAAAAATGCTTATTTTTCAACATTTTTTTTTGTATTCTGTTTAGACTGTTCTATATGTATTGAATAACATTATAATTCATTGAATATTATAATATATAAATGAATTGAATAATATAAGTGCCATTTTGATATATTCTTTTGATTTTTCAAAATTTACACAAATGTAGTCTTGTAAAATTGATCTCAAAATGTGTATTTTCAGAAAAGTTCACAAGGCATTTCCTAAAAAACAGCTCCAAATTTTTCAATGAAAGTTTGAAAAGAGACGTCCAGTATGTTGTTAACCGGGTTTGTTGCTTAACCATGTTGTACTGTTCTGCAAAATTCTTGAAAGTTGTATTTTCATTCTATAATTATTGAGAACTGAGAAAATGTGGAAAAATGCTGTAAAGATAAATTCATGTCAAAACAGTAACTGGAAAAGATAACTTAGTCATAAACTCACAAATACGTTCTCTTTGGCATAACCTAGTCTGAAGCAAATTCTCTCTGCCTGAATCTGTTGTCTGACAAAGTTTCGAATGATGAAGTTTGTTGGGGATTTTTCTGATTCACAGCCAAAGAAGCAAAAGCTTTTGAGGCTATGGGTTGTGCATAGGAAAATGGGAGGCCTACATGCCCGGATAGTGTCCAGTTTTCCAAAACAGTTTTCAAACTATTTGGTTCTCTTCAGCAAGGCCAAGAAGTCTTTAAATGATAAATTGAAGCTTGTACTTCTAAAGATTGTCAAAAGACAAGTACAAACTGTGTGAGCAAAAAGGACTTGCGGGATACTATGTAGTCATTTCAATAGTTTTTCAAAACACCTACAGTCTATTGTTTGATAACAGGCAGCAAAGTTGTTGCTTTCATGCATGTTCCAAACTCATGAGAGCTGTAGTTGAAACAGAAATTGGAAAAGATACCTGACCTCTGCCTTGACAAACTCTGTCATTTGGGACAACTGATTCCGACTGAGAACATTTGCTTGAGTAGGCTATGCAAAAACATTCTTTTTTTTGGCTATGTTAACTTTTCCAGTTTCTTGACACTGTAAAACCTGCCTAAACAGGTGCCTCTTTCAACACCATTTTTTCTTGGAACCGATGGATTGATTTTTCCATTAGGCACGTATAAATTTTATCTTTTAAGCAATCACAACCAGCAGTCAGACACATTTCACAGATTTATCTCTATTAAGCAAATACAAGTTAAACTGGCAATGCGATTAAAAATTTTAAAACACTAGAATATCAATTAGAATATAAAATATTAAATTTTGCTCGGCATAAAGTATTTAAAAAATTATATAATGAAGCATTAGATAGTAAGCATTATGTAGACTTTTTCTTATCTCTAAAGTATCATTGTGAAAATGTGTAAAAATGAGCAGAAACGGAACAGGCAATCACATTTTAAAAATTTTATATGGGGAAACTGCTGTGGAAATAACAAAAAAAAATTGTGTCTACAATTAAAAACTGCGCTTTTTACCAGAACTCTCATGGAAAAGCATACAATCTATTAAACAATTTTTGATGGAAGAAGAAAAAGAAAAAGAAGAAACAGAAGAAAAATACAAAAAAGAAGAAGGAAAAGAAGAAGAACCAATAATACAGCATATAACTGCTGTTGCTTCATCAACTAGTATTTGAGAGTCTTTTCTACATTTCCCAACGTACACTCAAAAATCAGAAATGCTGTCACAGTAGATAAAGCAGCTAAATTAGCTTTTATTTACTTTTTTTATTTTACAAATATTTAAAATGCAAATATTTTTTCAAATATTACAAATAATAAATATTGATTTAAATCATTGATTTTTTTAAAAATCATCATTTGATTTAAACTATACCAGCCTCAGTTACTAAGAATATGATAACTTGCCTCTAAAATATTTGACCTACTTTTCTCACTGCCTCATTTTGAGGTCTCTTGAGAATTTTTATTTTTAACTAATTTAGTCAAAATAAATTTATAAAATGTCTTTTTGACTAGAAAATTCCCTTGTTGATATTAAGATGTATTGCTGAATGATTGTTTTCTAGTTTCTCAATATGTTTTATGGGTTTTGTCACTACCCTTATCATCTTGACATGTATGTGTTTTGTTTTGGTCCTCCTTCCATGCTACGACTTTTCTGACTTTTTAGGCCCCTCTTGAAAGTTGTGCGGACTAAATTTTGCGTTGTTCATAGTCTTTCATCAGTCGCCATCTAAGAACATTCCCTTCAGTCAGATTTTCTATTCGTCCCGCACTTGTTGATGACCTCTGTTCAAAACGCAATTGTATTCGCCGGGCGTCGAACCGAGATTCCGCGCAGCCTTGTTGAACCCGCATTGTGTAACAATCTCTCAGCATTTACATTCAAGTTCCGTTTCATTTGAACCAATGCCATTTGTTAAGAGATCCTCTTTACCAGCCCATTCAAAAATGTCGGTTTGAACTGCCCGATAAATTCACGGTAGATGCCGAGCACACAAACGCGAATATAAGTACGTATTGTTACGTGCCATATTTTTACCGTCTTTGCAGTTCATTGTTTCATCAATATTTATGAGTTTCGTGACATGGAATGGAATGGTAAAAACTTAAATCCTAACTGACTAGTTTTAATCAATGAATATAAGAAGACACTGCATATACAATTATAATTTAAAATGACAAAAATGATACCCTTCAAAAGCATGTTCAAATGTTGTTTTAAAACATATTTTTTACTGATTTAACATTTACAATACACAACTTCTATGTTGCATTTAGTAAAGCAGAAGCAATTATTCAGTACTAAAGAGTCATCCATGCTTTGCTGTGCATTTCAAAACAGGCAGCATTCCATTATTCTTATGCTTGACAAATATTTGTGTCATACAGCAACAAAAAAGACAATAGAAATATTAATTTCAAGCTAAAATAATGTTATTCACCATGACATTTTACTTTAGTAACCAAAATTTAATAAATATGTCAAAATTAATATTCAAAGAAGTAGTTAAGACATGTTAACAAAATATTCTGAAAATTCTTACTCAAAAACAGAATCACTGTCCGACTCTGAAGTTTCAGGAATGACGCCCATGAATTCAGAACTAGAAGGAATCATGCTACTGGACCCAGTCCTCAGTGCCTGCAATACAGCACAAAGGATTACTCAAGGTTTTCTTAACACCTACACACCAATACCAAATGTGAACATTCTAATACCTTATTTCTGTTAAAACTGGCTTCACTTCCCGTTGATCCACCATCAGAACCAAGAAAAGACGATCCACGTTTTGCACTTAAACGAGAGTCAGTCTGTGTCAAATCCATGTTTTCTGAAGCTGTCACTTCTCCAGTTGTAGATTCAGAGCCTCTGTGCCGCCTATCAGGTTTTCCTTTCAAAATATTTTGGAACTTCTGAATAGCTCGAATTGAGGCTTTGTCAGGGCAATCCTAAAGAGAGAAAACATGACATGAATATTTCTCATGAGCACTGTATATAACACTTTTGTGGTGTAGCAAATGTCAACTTGACCAAATTTGGTCAAAAGTGGATTTTTCGATTACTGCAGGTCTGTTGCTAGTAACATTATATTCACTTTGGAAAAGAAAAACACAGACACACATATTATCCATGCACATGCACGTACGCACCCACACTCACAATATTATCATAAATATTGGGACATAGTTGGAGCGACTGTAACATGTTTCTGAACACCTCAACACCACAGTTAATCTCAGCACTATCATATTTTTAATTTTTGTGAAAATAACAATGCTCACAGATATCATCTCCCGAGCAATACCCATTGTGGCATAGTAAAATATTTCTAAAAATTACTCAACATATTTGTAGAGACTAGCTATCGCACTATTCGATTTACAATTTCCAAACAATTTAAATACATATTGTGTAACATCAATATTAGACACAGTGAATATGAAGAACAAAAACATTCCAATTCCAAACAATAGAGATGGTATTTCACTCAGTCACCTTACCCGTTTAATCTTATCTGCCATTTTCTGGAGATTTTTCCTCAAATCATCATCCAACACAAGTTCCATTAGGCACAGGAGATTGATCCATTCATGTTGATTTGGACCATAATTTTCTATCAATGCTTCATTGCACACTTGTAATGCAAGATTATTATGTATATTAACCTAAAAAGGATTTCATATAATTTTTTATTTTTTGTATCAAGTTCTCATATTATTAAAAAAAATAATACAAAAATTATTACTTCTGCAGAATAACGGTTCACTCCTGATTTTGTGAGGTCTAGAAGGAATTTTGCAACAGTTTCCACATCTACTTGATACAAAGGGCTAGAGGCTGGAGCGTTTAAAACAGTGTTAATTGTTGGCACAAAACATTGCTCCAACGTCTCTTGGCTTACAGGACACGAAGTGGCATAGATTTTGAAAAACTGGCCAAGTATTTGATGAAGGTGGGCATCATCCTCTACAACAAAACAATCTTTGAAGAAACTATTATATCCAAAAAAGAAAAGAAGGAAAAAAAAACTTATCTCAAAATTCAAGTTTTATTTTGCAAAATGCATGCTTATTAACAAATTTTTTCATACCATGAACAGGATTGTACCACAACAAGATCAATCTTGATAATAACTTTGGGGAAGATATCCTCATAGCAAGTAAGAGTTTACACAATCCTTGAACGACAAAACATAACATTTGCCCCTCCTATAAAAGGTTCAAAAATTAGCTAAATGTTAAACAAGTAAATATTTCATATAGAATTCAGATTTTTCCAAAATTCAATGTTTAAATGAGAATGTCATACTGCTGAATCAAGATGTTTGGTGAGCAAAGCAAGCAAGTGATATTCCTTAGTTTCAATCTCTTTGGAGTCATTTTTGTTGGATACAGTTTCAGCTTCACTTTCGTTATCATCACTTTCTTCGATAATTAATGTACTTTTTCTCATCAAGTTCTTCTTTAATTTCTTTCTTGGAGTTGCAGTCACATCTAAAATATCTGTATTAAAATTCAATGACAGTACATTATTGGGTTGTGTAAATTCATTACTACAAGTAACAAGGAATTTGGTATGAGGATGAATTTAATAAATTTGCATCGATTAAAAAGGAAGAATTTCATAGGATTATCTGTGGATTAACAAATAAACTAGTGATGCTACAGAATGGCACAGACTTTCTTGATTAGTTTTCGTTTCTTTTGTCTGGACTAGCTGTTTGGACTTGCCATATACACTTGGTAGCTGCTGTCTATCGCAGCCTGAAGTACATTTTTCTCCTAAATTTTTCAATTTCCTCATAGTAGAACCCAAATATTACTTTAAGAATATTAAAGAAGTTTTGAGTCAGAACGAGTTGAGAAATCCGACCAGCTAGCCCAGACAAAAGAAACTAGAAAACTAAATGACCGTAATAATAATAATAATAATAATAATAATAATAGTAATAGTATTTATTGTAGAGGAGGCAGTGCCCTTACTGGTATTAGAAATGTCTATCATGGGGTGAAAATTGAATGCTCAGTGGATGTTGAACATTTGTTTATTCACCTGCATTCTGACAGCTTTGATATGATTGGTACGGTTTATTTGTCCCACATAGCATTACTTGAATCTTTGTTTTTGGAATATCCAAATTCAAAATGGATAATTTTTAGAGACTACAATCTTCCTCATGTCATCTGGCGCAGGGTAATATTGTAAATAATTATGTAGGAATGTTGGATCTCATTTTTACTGATTTAGAGCATTTCTCTGTCAGGTGTTCGGATGACTTGTTTGTATCAGCAGATGTGTTTCATACACGCAGCTCAGTGTTACTTGTGTCCTTCAAGCAAACTAACTTTGAAAATTTAGAGGAATGGAGGTATGATTACTGTCCATCTGACAATGGTTTGATAGTGCAATTTTTGTGATCTATATTCTAGTCTTGAATCCTTCGTCGGTGATGTTAACACTTTAGTTACTTTATTATTATTACTATTTGTAAACTTGTACAGATCTATATCTACCTAAGAAAATAATTGTAAACTCAACATTTCCTGCGTGGTATAGTAGTGAACTGAAGAACACAATAATTGACAAAAAATCGACTCATGTTAGTTACGGAGGACAGAGAGGGAGGGAGGGAGACAGAGAGGGAGGGAGGGAGACGGAGAGGGAGGGAGGGAGACGGAGAGAGAAAGGGGGAAGGAAAGAGAAAGAGGGAGATCAAAAAGAGTAGAATAACTGCTAGGTTCCGCTAGTTAAATCAATACTAATTATATCATCAACACTTTTTACAATTTCATCTTCTGTGTTATCACTAGCATTCACTTTTGAGTTTCTTGAATTTTCATGCACGCATTTGTATGTGTAAGAATATAAGGGATACAAAAAGCCTATTTCTGTTATAAATAAATGCTCCAAAAAAATTGAATACTTATAACAATTTTTTATCCTTACCACCATCCTCCTCTCTAATTGCAAATGTTTTTAAACCATATCTTAGAAGAAGATCAAAAATTCCTTTCACAGCAACTTGGGCAATTTCATCACAAGTACTGCCAAGCTAAACAAGAAGAACCAAAATAATTTCAATGAGGTTTCAAATATACAGAACTTAATTTAATGTACGAAATCAGTAGAAAAGTATCAGGCATTTACACATTTCATAAATATCTAACATAACAAGCAAAAATAATAAAGTATAGATGTTTCAGAATTTGTCAAATCTATGTAAAGGACAAAGTACTTACATACAAACAAAATATAACAATAACTTCTTTGGCTATGGATTCATCTAGTAATGAGAAAACAGCCAAGCACTGCAGAGCAATAACTTGAACAACAGCATGTTCGATCTGCAAAAATTATATACTCATTATCTTGCACTTACTATACACAATTCTCCTCTACCCCATGGACCACAGAACCAGTTTTGTGGCACATATTTAAAACTTTAATCTCATTGTACTTTATTTCAAATAGCATACTAACTTTCACTGTAAAAGGTGAGGTGTACAATAAATGGTCAAAAAGAGTAAAAATTTACATTTTTGCAGGCAAAATGTAAACATTTCCAAGAATTGTGCGCAGGGTTTACTGTTTATTATGTTCCAATGTTTATTTGGAGTTTTGACAACCATTCGGCAAAAATTTCCAAACAATTATGGTAGCCACAGACATGCAAAATTTCAAGTGTCCCTCTTTTGGATAACGGCCAAATCAACGTTCTGTCTTCCTTATCACATTCTAAAAGACTGAGCATACTTTATTAAATCTTCATTCCACATTTTCATACTGCACATGTTCACCTTCATGTTCATGTTCACAACACCTTTGAAACCATACTGATGTTTATTTAGCAAAATATTGTGGCGCATTGTATCGAATGTTTTGACAAGACCTCAAAATATTGAAATACTGTTTATTATCTACACAACTACTGATTTAAGAAGTAAATTATATTACAATTAACAATAACTATAAGTCAGAAACATTTATATATTTTATTTATTATATTACACGTATATATTTCATATTATCAGTCAGCAATTATTCTGAATTGTTTGAATCTTATTTATTTTGTACATCATGTTTTTTCTTAATAAACAGTTGACTTGCGATGATTGTTTATTTATAAAGGTAAGGATGTTAAATTTCTTAAATTAACGATAGGTACAAGTGCACTTAAGTGAAGGGTTGTGTGTTAACAGAGGTTAAAGACACATGTGACCAGTAAACGTAAATAAGCTTGAGAAACTGACCATTTCCTTCAATACTATTTTCTCTCCCGGTTCAGTTTGTCATTTACGTTATACATAGGTAGTGAATACATCCATTGTCTCAAAAAAAAGGAATGTCATTTTCGGAAAAAGGAAACCGATGATGGTTTTTTCCCTCAAAAGTTTACATCGAATAGCATTTTACAACCCCAAAGTAGGTTGAACATCTTTCATCCTACCAGAGTTGCAGCTTGAAATAGATTAATGGTTAGTATTATATATTATAATTTCTCAAATTAATGGAAACTGTTTATCATACCTATAGTAAACAATAAGAATTAAGCAACATTATTTACTCTAATTTACAAATTATGTTTTGAAATAATGAAATTAGTTAAGTAAATCATGCAATACCTTTAAGCTGTTCTTCACAAAGTTATCCAATAAACTGCGAAGTTGAGGATTAAGTTCCTTAACAGTTGGAGACTGCATCATTTCAAAAACAATTGTGAGACATTTTGAAATTATGCCAGGATCATCTTTCTGGTGTTTTACCTTAAACAGCAATTAAGGGAAAGTCAGTGGTACACGAGTTGTTTTCTCTCACCCCCCTCCCAATCACACACTTTAATATCAATATCTACGAATAAGCATACACTAAAATGGGGAGTAAAAGCAAAGCTAGTAAATGACATTTCATGAATTTTAAGCAAGAGAAGAGAGAGAAAGAAATAGGGAGAGGGAGAGAAGGAAAAAAGTGAGAGGGGGAAAAGGAAAAAGAGGGGGAGGGAGAGAAGGAAAAAGAGGGGGAGGGAGAGAAGGAAAAAGAGGGGGAGGGAGAGAAGGAAAAAGAGGGGAGGGGGAGAAGGAAAAAGAGAAGATAGGAGATAGAATCATGTCAGGAACATTCGTTTTACTCAAACATTTTTTACACTATCATATAAAAATGCTTATAATTTCAATAATTGGTGTCATCACTTCTTCGAGACCGCATTTAAACTCTGTTCATGAGGGTGACAACCAACGTCATAAAGCGAAGAAGAGGCAGAGAAGTGGTAGTGGATATGAGTGATGTATGGTAAGGATGGGCAATGAGAATGAGGACAGACAGGGGAGATGGATACTGAGAACAGGTAGTGTGGACAAGTAAGGAAGACAGATAGGGAAGATGGTAAGGGTTGACAGTAACATTGGGTAATGAGAATGGGCGGTTCAGGATGGAGAGTGAGGACATGTCAAAAAGCCTTTCGCACCAAGATGTCATGGCAAAAAGCCTCTTTTTTGCACTGTGGCAAATTTTTTTTCCTTCATAAAAAACTAACTTCAAGCACATTCAGCAGAGCAAATAGTTGCACTTCTTTATCTGATCGCAGCCACCTCAACAAACTATTTATTGAACACTTCAATATTAATGATATTAACCAAATATGTAGACTGTACTAATTAAAATTCAGATTGTGTCACAGATGTAATGTATCTAATCATTTGTCAATGACCCTCCTCCTCTTTCCTTTTCTAAAATCATGAAATACATCCTAACAGGATTGTAATCATATCAACTGCAGGTATAAAACCATATTTTTAAATAAATTACAATTAGAAAAAACACTGCCCTAAAATTAAGCAAGAGCTCTTAGCAATTTTCTAACCAGTGATTCTTTGCTTCCAGAACTGACAGAGAGTAACTGAAGTTCTTCAGTAATTTTTGCAAGATCATTCTTCAAATCTTCAGCAGCCAAATATCTCTTTTCTTCAACAGCTTTCTCCAAGTCTTCCTCCAATATATTTCTCTGCAGGCGAAGCTGAGCAAGCTGTAATAAGAGACAATTACGATAAAAAAAAAGAAAAGAAAGAAGAAAAAAAGTTTACTTACAAAGTAGAATATGACAATAAATTTAACTTTTTAAATATCACCATTTCAATGTTTAATGACTCAGTTCTATTTTATTTGTGCCAAAAGCCTACACACACTGTTAGAATGTTGAGTTTTTACTATCTTGCCTATTGCTTACACAGTGTAGTGAAAGTTTTGTAATGGTGTGGGAAAAACAGTTTTGGACACAAAGGGCCAATTGCATAAAGCTTTCCATATGGGTTCCAAACATTTTGTTTCACTCAGGAGTAACATCCACACTCTCGACCACTCATACACACTATTCAGGGCCTCTTAAAGGTTGAGATGATTCACCAGAGAGTTAACATAGAATTTGGTGTCATCTGCTTACATCTTGAAGTGGGAGAGTATATCCTTCGGCAGGTCGCTGGTATACACGATGAATAAAATCAGGCTCAATTCCAAGTCCTGGAAAACTCCACCGTTGATTCACTAGTGATAACTAATTTTCTCCAATTCTCATGCAAAAGCGGCAATCCTCAAGTAAAGACTATCTAATAGCAAAATATCCAAAAGCCCTTATGCCAAAGTGAGCAAGTTTGTGAAGTGACCTTTGATGTGGTACCTTGTCAAAAGCTTTGGAGAGGTCTACGTAGATGATATCTGTAGGGTTGTCATTATCTAGATCCATTGTATCAAGAAACTAGAACACTGGGAATGGGCAGTGAGGTTTTAAATGAAATAAAAAACATACATATCTAAATATATTCATGGATTTGTCAGGGCTTCTGACTAATATTTTTTAAGGATTGGGTAAAGAGATGATCTGAAACAAATGGCTTTGTATTAAGTGTAATGCAACAAAGAAAAAACGAATTACCCACAAAGTGCTAATCTGAAATTTGCAAGATATCGAATTAAAGAAATTCATCTTGACAGAAGAATGCATTCTACACCCAATCAGAGACAGAATGATCTAAAAAATTGTAGAAAAAATTTCCAAACTTTAGAAACATTGCCGCTCTCCCCACAGTTTTGCAAGTTTACAACTAGGTCACACGAGCATTAAAGGATGGGAATATCAAATTAATGATGTATAGAAGCATATGCCACTAGCAAGAACACGAAAGAAAGAAAATCTGTAAGCACAGAAGTGAATGTTCTTAGATGGTGTCAGATGAATGACAAAGGACACAAATTAAATGCACAAAACATTCAAGGACATTTATGATTAAGTATTAAGTTCCAGGCATAATCGCACGTTTCCATTAATATCAACTTATTTTGTGAACAACCCTCTTACAAGAATGTGCTAATGAATTAAAGAGTGTGGATGCAACTTTTCTTTTTAATTTATTTTTTTTCATCACCGTCATCCAAACGCTTCTTGGGCATTGATCACCAGAAGTAATCCTCCATTAAGTTTTTTCTCCAGTCTCATCATGCTGCGGTAAGCCAGTGCCTTTTATCCCTTCACCCATGGCTCGGCACCTTGTTGAAAAAAACAATTTTTTTTTTAAAATAATCCATCCCGCTGGGTTTATTTATGTTTTTTTTTGGGGGGGGGGGGGTTAACTGAAATTGCTTTAAAATTATTTTTTATTGATTTAAAGATTTATTTATATTAATTTAAATGCATTAATTTATATAAATCTAAAACTAACATATATTTACATTATTTACTAACAAATAGAAGATTTATTTATGTTTATTGAACTCTCATCTTCCGTACTTGTTACATTAATAAAATATTTAAATTATCGAACTGTGTAACGTATAATTAACATCTGTAAATGTAGAAGCTGGACAGTGTCATATGATAGGTAACAGTCATGGTCCACTCCAAATTATTCAATTTTCACACATCGCGCAATATCAATTTCTTAAAAATCCCTTCACTCTCCCGTTTGAGGGAATATAATGGTGTAATTTATCTGCACAAATTAATTAATAACAACATTGATTGCCCATTGGAAGAATTGAGGTTTCGAGTTCCCACAACAACAAGAGGAAAAGATACATTTGCACTACCTCTATAGATTTCTATCTATATCTACAACTGCGGTAATTTATGACATCTTAAAAAATAAAGAATGAATTATGAGTGATTGATTTACGGGGCAAAATGGTGACATCAAGCTAAAACAGAAAACGACAGGATATAAAGAACTGAATGAACTTTTGTCCAAGTGGTTTGTTTGTAGCCTTTCGGAATACTTGCCAATTTCTGGAACGATTCTGGAGATCCAAGCCATTCAACTGGCAAAAAAGCTGAATAAGCTAGAATTCTAAGCTTTGAATGCTTGGCTAGAAAGTTTCAGAAACTGGCACAAAATCGTGTGGAGTCAAGTGCGTGGAGAAGCGAGTGATGTAAATGTGACTGTAGATTCTGAGTGGCAGGAAAAGCTAAAAGAATTAGTGAGGGAATCCAAACCAGAAGACACATTTAACAGTAATGAACTGGTTTTTTAGGCCACTCCCTACAAAGTCACTCTCCCGGCGAGGGAAAACGTGTGGGTGGTCTAAAGAATGTCTGAATGTTTTCTTGTGAGGCAATATGGCAGGGAAGTAGAAAAACCGATTGTGATGGGCAAATCAGCTAGATCCCGTTGCTTCCGACATCTTGATGCAAATAAACTGCCAGTAACTTGTATTGAACAAGGCCTGGATGACTGCAGCATTAACAGAGGAATGGCTGAAGAGTTTGCATGTAGATATGAAAAACAAAACTATCAGGTGCTGCTATTTCTTGATAACATCACATGCCACTCACACATTAACTTTTCTAGTGTAAGATTGGCATTGTTTCCACCGAACACTACCTGTGTTACATAGCTTATGGATCAAGAGTGATCTATACGTTCAAAGTCATTATCAAAGACTGGTTCTACAGTCTTTGATAAAAGTTGCGAAAATGGACAGTGCAAGCAGCTTCTCTTAGATGGCAAAATCAATTTCAGTTTTAGGTGCTCTAAACTGGATTCATTTGAGAGTAGAGAAAGTAAAAGAGGAAACAGTTATTAAATGTATTAGGAAGGCAAATTTTGTCACTGATGCTGAAGAAAATAAAAATTTCGATGAAGCTGAAACTAATTTGCATGCTATATAAGATCTATGTTCAAAAGGAGGGTTTGATATAGATGCTACAGAGTACATCAACAGCGATAATAACGTACCTGCGTATCAGCAAGCTGTTTCTACAGCAGAACTTATAATAAGTCACAACCAGCAGGAAAAAGAATAAGACAACTACAATGAGGAGCAGGAAGCAGATGACACGTTAACAATCAACTTTTCTGAAGCAATGAAGAATGTAAGAAATCTTCAAATATTTACTGCAAATAAACATTGCTCCAAACATTATGAACAATTGTGCAGAGCGAAGAAATGTTTGGAGAGGAATCCCTTTCAGTGCAACACAAAGCAATTGAAACTGACAGACCTACGGAGTATAACAGCAAAAACAATAATATAGTGTCAAACACTGAATGTGATGTATTAAAAAGCATTAATGTAAATAATTTTTTGTGATGCATTTAAATACAGAATGCAATGAATCATTTCTAGCAGCAAAAGTGTTTAAAAGACTGCACCTCAATAAGACTGAAAATATATTGGGACCCTGTCGTTTCCGTCTTGAACATGTTTCACTGTGTTACAGAGAAACCTCTCTGTACAGTTTCTTTAAGGGATCATGATCAACACTGTATAGATGAAAACACTGTAAAGAGGAATACTGTGTATATGGGCTTTTGGTTGGGACCGGAAAAAATTGATGTAACATAAGAGGAAAACATAATATGGACAAATGTTACAAATAAATTTCATTGTACATTGTAAATTTTGAGATATATTATTTTGTTACATTCTATATTTGTGAGATATTTAGTATTTGTATATTACTGTTTCTCCAGCACTTTATGTTGTAGAAAATCGTGGACAAATTGTCTGTTAATAATAAATAAATATTGACTACATGACTAATAAAGCCAACCAAATCCTTGGTGTCGTCCAAAGAACATGTGCTGAACTCAACGCAGTAAATGTATTAGAAATATTATATACAGTGCTTGCTAAACCTTTTTTAATGTTGGCATCCATGGTCTGGTCTCCTTATTTTCACATTCATTCTGCTAAAATTGAATCTGTCCAGCACAAGTTCTTCAGAATTGCTGCAACACGTTTAGGCAACCCTTACATCGATCTTGATTATGTCTCGTATCTTCTACACTAAACATGCTCTCTATTTCATGTCTTTGTAACTTCAATGATATCTTGTTTGTGTTTACGTTAGTAAATGGTAGAATTGATTGACCACTGTTACTCGAAGAATTTAATTTTAGTCTCTGCAATTCACTTAAAAAATAAAGACTTTTTCCATGGTGAACTACAGAAAAATCTATCTACTACAGAAACTACAGAAAAATAACCCTATCACTACAAGGACTAGGACGGTAAACGAGTCAGGTTGCGACATTTAGAGTTCGTGAAAATGTTTTTTAACAGAATTGCATATTTATATTTTACATTATGAGTGATTTATATTGTATAATATTTGCATTCTTATCGTGATATTCATGAATCATTTTTCTTTCTGTAATTCTGTATTTGTCTATTGAATGAAAGTTTGTCAAATTATAAATAAATATGTTTTGGTGGGTTAAACAAGTACTAAAAGAAAATCGATTAGAATATTATTTCTTATGTTTCATATCTTTGTAGTGACATAGAAAAGGTATTTTGGTTCAAATGAAATTTTCCGAATACATTATATTTCATTAATGCTAACCGAAATCAATACAAATAGCAATTATTAATTTCACAAATGAAAGTGTTGGTAATAAATACATCCCTATGTTTGCTCCAAGCAAAATTACGCTAGTGTCATCTAAGATTAAGATTATTATCCATCACCAATGTTTTCTGATTCAGTTAAAAAACAGTTCTCCCCAGCGAAATATTGGCTATTAACACAACAATATGTTCAAAACATGAAAATTTTTGAAGGTTTGTTTGTATAAGTATTTCAAATTGACCAGCAAGTACTGCAGCAATAAGAACAATTTTTTTCAACATTTGGTTTGGTTAGATCCATTGTAGAACAATTTGAGTGAAGAAAAGGCAGAGAAATTAGCCATATTTTTTGTAACACCTATTAAAAAAACAACAACAACTGGAGAGTGGTGTCGGAATTCTAGCTGCACATTTGTATTCAGTGTGTTGACATACATACAGAAACATGTGTCATGTCTTTGGGTCCAATAACTTTTTATTTTATTTTAAGGGCCTGTGTAATGAACAAAATTTCAACGGTATTCCACAAAAACTTAGAAATTTTCTAAACTTGCCAATCAACAAATTCCCATGTACATAATATTTGATTTTAAGATTTGAACATCTGCAGTCAGGTAATTAATGCTCTCTCCAACTGTGCGACTATTTTTGTGGATTTTTGATTATTAAAAAAATCCCACCCTACTATTTTCCAATCTAATGAGAGATTATTTCGTCAAGTTTTCAAAATCTTCTTACCTTGTAATCTAGTTCTCGTTTCTGATCAGCAGGTATATCTTCTACGTCTTCCACTAATGGATCGTGTATTTCGGAAATAGTTTCTGCTATCAGTTGGAGTCTAGCAGCAACATCTGGGACCACTTTTACCAATACATCTATTATTGTGGGAATGAGCTTCAATCTTGTATCAGAGCTCATTAACATATCTATTAACAGCTGTTTCAATTTTTCCCTGAGGAATATTCAGTTACTGAAAACTTATTCATTCCAATCCATATCAACAAACATTTAAGGTTAAAAATTTCTAGAGCAGAAAAATACCTTCCAGCCTCATCCCCTAAGTCAAACACTTTCATTAATTGCAGCAACTGCAAAATGATGAAATCATTCGGAGTGTGATCCCAAGGTTCCAACTTTTCCAGTTTATTAATTTCTTTTAATCTATCCAAGTTCCTGAAAAGAACATGTGAACATTTCAACACTGAGAACTTTTTGTTATTAATAACACAAATTAAGAAAAGGTAATCTATTATATCTTGTCTCTGAATATCTTTGCACACCCCAAAAAGCTGCTATCACAAAGCAAACCTCTAAGTGTACGTGTTTCTCCAGCACATCAGTTTTTGGTGTTGGGCAGATTGGCAAATGGACAGGTGGACAGACAGACTGACTGACAAACATTAACAGCATTTTCTGTTAATAGGATTTTATGTCTACCATATAATTAGTTTGAAAAAAAACAACAACAATGATCAAAGAAGCATGCAGCTCTACAGAGAAACAACGGAATTCAAAAATATACTGTACTCTTCCCTCACTCACAATGGCAACTTCACAATTCTTTAAAAATACACATGAAAGGTTAAAAATCAAAACTGTTTTACCTTTTCACATATTCACAAAATAGAGAAAGTTCTGGTAGAATAAGTTCCCACTGGCCATCTTCTTCCGACTGTAGAAATTCTGCAAGGCATCTCCACACAAAAGATAATTCTATAGTCAATTTTTCAGACGGAATTAATTTTTCAGAATCCAAATCTAAATTTTTAATTAACTTTTCCTTTGACTGTTGCCTGTTAACAAACAATTCACATAAAATGCTGACTTCATGAGCAAACTATAGGCATCATGGAAAAATCTCCTTTACATACCGAAAAATCACTTTAATAGCTTTTTCAGCTATTTCAGAATTTTCCACATCCAGTGAATGAAGAAAATCCACAAAATTTCCTTGACAATTTTCAAACCAATTGGGAAGCAAAACTTTTTCAACAGAATCTCTAACAGAATCTGCAAAATAGTTTTTTTTCATCAATCAGTTCATTTATTCCAGCTTTGAACACAAAATACCTAACTTCAAAAATTAGATTGAAACTATTAAGTTCTTTTCGTACAACGAAATAAGAAGTAATAAAAATAAACTAATTTTAATGACTTTTAGACATAAAAATAAGACTTATTGTTCTACTAATGCCCTATGAAACAATTTTACTTTGTTTGAAAACAAGACAGAATTCATGTATCTGTAGGCTCTATAATCTAAATATTGACTGAAAATGTACAAATAAATGAATTAATCTTCAACCTTAATTGGTAAAACTTTGCACATTGGACTATCATAAAACACAATTCAAACACAGACTTAAGTCAAGATATTTTTAGTACAGAAAATTCTTGTAGTCTGCAAAATATGTCATTGAAAAATTTCCGCAAAAATCAAACAATCGTAGGATATTATAACACAATTTTACAACTGCCAGTGTATTACTGATAGGTATTTTATTTAATTTCTCACAAAATTATTTTTTTAATTTGAGAAAATTGTATCTCAATTTAGTTAGAATATGTGTATGTTATAAATCGCTAAGAACTTCAGCTTTGTGCATTCATTGAATAACACGTTGTACCAAACAGTACATAACGCATATTCAAACTATTTTGGTTCCTTATGTCTGCATTTGTGCCAGTTTTAATTCTGTAAAAAGCATATTTTCATTACAGTTTCAAGACAACCTCCAAAGAAATATTCTTACAAGAAATTTGGTATCTACCTGCATATACATTTAACAAATAGCTTCTCAAATTTTCATGATATTCCTAATAAAAGAAATATCTTTTTTCTCTTTCAATTATTTATTGGTTTAGTGATGTAATTTAGCACCTGGCACCAAAGAAACTTAGAAGTGCCTATTCAAATAACGCATTTGCAGTTTGCAAGACCCATAAGTACATATTTCTGATCAAGAAGGGTAAAACTTAAAATTCTTTAGGTTTACTCAAACGACAATTTAAAAAATCCCTAATAATTCCACAATTGTCATTTTCCGTATGTCCTCCGATTGTTAGTCACCAAATGAAATTTTCCCTACAATGAAATGCACTGAAATATAAACAATATGATACACTATTAACACAGTATAAAAATTCATGCAACTTCAATTATATAACATACCATTGCGATCCTTTAGTCCTTGTGAGAGAATAAGTTCACGGTTCTTGATGGAATGTGATCTAATTGTTACTTTACTCAAAGACACATAAGCTTGCTTACGCACAGAATCTTTAACATCTTGAATTCTATTACGAATATAAGGGAGCGAATATTTGGAACGGCCAAGACACAATAAAACTGCACGACGCACTTCTGCACTGGGATCCATTGACATGTGAAAAAGAAATGCTGTGAAGAAAACATAAGGCTTGTAATGTGAATCATTTGAACGGGAGCCATAAAATAATAAACACTTTAAATTACAACAGATAGCGTAGTTGGCAGCAAGTGGAAAAACAAAATAAATTTACTACAAAGAAACTACATACCAAACAATAAAAACACATTCACATTACACCAACCTTTCACAACAGGACAGTCTGGATCAGAAGGGTCCTGGAGACGCTCCAGAGCTGTTACAGCTTGAGCTCTTACAGAAGGTGATTTATCCTAAAAAGAAGTTGAATAAAATGTATGAACACACATTCTCCTTGCTTCTCTACAAAAAAATACATAGATATGCCAACTTTCATGGAGATCGGTCTCATGCTGTCAGAGTTCACCGGAGAAGAAAGGAGGAAGAGTGAGGGGTAAAGAGGAAAAACGAGTGGGGGAAGGGAAATATAGAGGGAGAGAGGAAAAAAGAGAGAAAGACCATGAGAAAAAGTGTAAAAAGAGAGGGAAAAGATAGCAAACAAACAGGGAAAAAGAAAACGAGCAAAGAAAAGAGGGAGAAGGGTTGGAAAAAGGGAGAGAGAGGGGGCATGGGAGAGGAGAAAAAGGGAGAAGGCAGAAAAGAGAAAGTGGAAATGAGAGAGGGGGGAAAAGGGAGAGAGTAAAATAGATAGGAAAAGAGAAAGTGTAAAAAGGGAGTGAGGAAAGAGAGAGAACATGACATCTACTGGGTTCTGCTAGTAATATATAAAATTGCAAATGATATCTTTATTTGTCCAAAATATTCTTATTTTCAAAAAGATGACCGTTTTATTAACTTAGAAAATTTCAAACTTTCGCTATTCAAATGGATAGAACATTTAAGGCATAATGGATAAGATCCAAGCTAGCCATAATTTATTTTCAATGCAAAATTGCCAATACTAAGTAGTAATGAATAAATTAATTTTAATGCATCATCAATGCCAATTCATGTTCATGTGGATTTGGTGAGAGGGGGTGATGCCCACACAACCCACGCAAATGTAATACATATTTAGTTCACAAAGGGATTTCTGATAAAACTGGACAAAAGATTTTCAACAAAACTGATATTGTGCGATTGATCTGGCTGATGTTGCACCCTTTAAATTTGAAGCTTTTTATTTTTATTTTTTGGGTATTCTTTACATACCCATGACATTCCAGTAATTTTCTCAAAACTCTATTCGATAAATACTGTATTTACCCAAAAAGTAGTTTTTTCCTAAATATTTCATTCGAAAAACATGCGGACATCTTATATTCAAAGATTATGTGTAATAGGCTTGTATTTATTTTTTATACTGCTTTTCCTAGTCAAGAATCTCAAATGCCAATGTAACAATAAGTTGAAAAAGCAATAAATATCAAATCTAAATTTATGTATGTGTATCTAATTACATTCATAGAGCAAACCAGACCAATATTTTTGAATGGGCTAGCAAAGGGAGGAACTCGAATGAATAGCATTATAGTAAGTGAAATGATATGTCAAAAGAATAAAAGGTGTTGCCTAAATTTTGTTACAGGTGCACGGACCAACAAGGCCGCAAGACTTCTCGGTTCAATACCCTGCAAGTGTAAAAGTGTATCTTGGTTTGGCAAGTTACGGAAATAAAAAACAAATAACATTGATATAAGTACACATTCTACATCCGATCAAAGGGGCAGAATTATGACACAATATTTTCTTAGCAAAAACTTCCCAACCTTAAAACTTGAACGATTCAGCGCAAAACAGAAATGTCAAAGTAGGCAATTTACAATACAATCACGCAATAATTAAACAATGCAAAAATCAAATATATTCTGTGAAAGGAGAGCTAAAGAATCCAAGAGCCACAAACAGAGAGAGACAGGAAGAAAATTTGGTGAATTTGAAGGGAATGTTCTTCGGCAGCATTAAATGAAAGATGAACATTCTAAAAAGTCAGGACGATGCAATGTAGGAGAAGGATCAACAAGAAAGACTAGTGGTGTTAAAACAGCAGATATTTTCTTGCCCTTAGTAATGCTTATGTATTACTATTTGTACCACAATTTCTCTCCGAATTAACACATTTCAGTCATAATTTTTTGTAAAACTAAATTTGTACATGACTTTATTTCAACATCAATTTTTAAGAAACAATATCTGTTTTTAATATTTTAGTTTTAGGAAGACCCCGAAAAAATTTTGTACTTTCGCAATTTTCGAAAAATTAGGGTTTTTAACTAACACGAGATATGCACCACTCTCTTAATTGTTATTCACGCCATCCAATTAAAATATTTAATAAAAGCAGAGTGATTTGCTCTTGAATCATCCCAGTAGTTTCATGTAAAGTACCTCTCAAAATTAAAATTTCGGTTTCAAATTCAAGGGGACGCAACATCAGTCAGATTGATAGCACTGTTTCAATTTTGGAGAAAGTCTGCTGAGAGTAGCTGCTAGCATTGTTCAGAGACAGGGGGTCAGATGTTTTGCTGTCGATTAGTTTTCAGTATCAAGAACCCACAAAACATGGATTCTGGCTAAACCATGTGTTAAAATATTTTTTTCTTCTAAATTTAGTAACTGGACGTTAATCTTAATCATTATCAGGGTGCAGTAATAGGTTGCTCTTTTTTGCTGAAAATTAGCAATTTTTCACGAAGCTGTGAATAACTTTCTTTCTACTGCACAAGCGGTAGCGAGTGAATAAAACAGAGATAAATGTTCAGCTGAAGGTGGTAGAAACAAATATGATTATGATGATTTTAAAGAACAAGAAAAACATGAAAGCTTAGGCAATAAGAGTTAACATTCCCATTAGAAAGATAATTTTCTAGACAATTTGTAATTCAATTTGGGCTAAATAGTAGTAAGAATTAGTTAAAAATTTAAATAGTTCTCAATATCCTCTTATATAATAAATAAATAATCGTCACATAAACACAGAATTTTCCTTCACTAAAGCAAAGTACATTTATCAAAATGAAGCAGGTCCTGTTTTCTTAAAAATCTAATTTAAAAGATTACAGAAGTAGAAATGTTTTGGACCACCTCCTACAACTGTATGAAGACGATACATTTTTTAGGATGAAATCAAATCTTTGAAAATACATCTTAAATTCATGAATAATTGTTTTTTGAAAACATGAATAAAATTCAGAGTGAAATTAGAACAATTTTAAAAAAATTCATCAAGAAGATTTTCCCAATAACACTGCAACATTTATTCTTAATAAACAGAGAATAAAATTGGTGCTATCAGTGCTCAATGAATCGTCGGCATGTTCTTCTTAGAGACTATTAGAGCCATACCTCAATATTCTAGACACTTTCTTTCAATAAGATTCTGCCACTGCCCATTCAGCAATAAAACTCTTCCATTTACTGATGAAGTATTTCACTGATAGAGTTATTACTTGTGATCTCTGACCAGCAAGATCTCCCAATCTCACAATTTTTTATTACTTTTTTTTATTTCTTACAAAAGGACAGAGTTTACAAATCCAATCCTCATACAATTGCAGAGCTTCAAGGAAACAAAGAGAGATCTCCAACATGAAGAAGAGGATTTCCAATAAGTGTAAGTCACATGTTTGTCAGTGCCAAAAGTGTGAAGAAGTGCACAGTGAACATTTATAACATCGCCTGAGAGATAAGTTTGATCTGAAGCAAGCAACATACCAGCCCTGCATGGATGTCACACAGTCAGTTACTGGGGAATCAAGGACTCATCCCCCAAGTGTCAGAAGCATGTCAGAACGATTCTTGAGTAGACACCCAGTATATCTATATACCATCTATATTGGTACATGATTCAATCTTGTTCTGTAGTTAATACCAAAATCAGAGTTCTTTGACCATTCTACAGTGTATACTTAAATATAACCACGCATATTTTTCAAAAAAATTGCTAGCTGAAAATTGGGGTGCGGGTAATATTGAAGTCAATGTTGGTACCACGAACACGACGCATGTTGCACGTGGTCATATGGTGGCGTGGATTTGTCTTCGGATTTTATAACGTGGTACATCAAGGCCAATCTTCATGATATAACATCTCACAGCATTTCGCGTCTTTTTCAATAGTGCCAATAGTGTCGCACGATTGCGACCATACCAGGTGGTATCAAACACGGCTTGATACGGTCGCGACATTTAGAGGCATGACCGAGAAAGGCACGAAATGCCTCACATAATGCCACTGTGAAGATGGGCCTTGAGGTGCAGCTTTATGAAAATCACACTAACCAGGCGGGCCTATTAAAGACAGAATGGTTTTGCAATAAAAGTGAAAACATGTGGGGGGAAAAAAAATAAATATTTTTTCAAGATTCCTTACCGGAAAATTAGGGTCCAGATTATATTCGAGTATATACAGCATTTACATAACTTAAACATTTGTTTAATACATTTTCACTATTTTAATATTTTTATTCAATTTTAACCCATATTTTAGTCAAATTTTTCATCCATATTTTGAAAGTTCTTTGGGACATATGTATGTACGTGAATTTTGAATAAATTACAGCTCTGATTATATTTTGTACTCATATCCAATAATATGTGAAAGTATCTATTGTTGTAATATCACTATTTTGTATATTTTTTTAAAAAAAATTTAATACAAATTATACTAATTTTTGAGTTCTAAATTTACCTTCAATCTTTCTAACATAGCAGCATAAATTTCCTCACAAATATCGCTATCTATAGATGCTTCAGGACCCAAACACTGAAGAATTCTTTTGATGCAATAACATATTCTCATTCTAGAACTAGAGCTTTTGCAGCCATGTACCTGAAATTCAATAAATTAATTATATTTAACATAGCATATTATGTTAATACACAAGTTAAAACATTTAAAAAACAACTATTTCTTTCTTCTCAAAACTACTATTTCAATTTCCCTTTCAACATCTAATAGAGCTACCTATCTATGAATCGGTGGTAAATTTTTCTCTTAAATTGTGGTCAACCTGTCTGTCTCAATGCATTCCCCTACTCAATAACTTCATCTTATCTTTCGCACTTCCCCTTCTGTTACTTTTTATTTAGTTGTAGTGATTTGTTCTTGATCATTTAAATTGATTTTTGAATCAGAGTGGTCTCATGGAATAAACAGCTCCCGTAAGTGTGTTTTGTAGAATTTTCTATACTGCATAATTCCAGCAGTACTGACATCATTGTTTTTTGGTAGACAAGATAAAACGGCGTTCCTTAAGAATATCAGCATAAATTGTTATATTTTGTGCACAAGCTATGCCATACACACAATGATGATCCATTTCCAGTTTTTAAAACTTGGCATACGTTTAACTGAACCGCATTTGTAGCAAAACTTGAGATTCGCAAAGAAACTAAATATACGGTGCAATAGAAAATTCACCATATCAAAGACTCGGGGAATACATAAGATACACAACACGCAGATATAATTACTCACAACATTAATAAAAAAAGGAAAACTTGCAGTAAATACCCATCAACAAGGGAGTGGGAAACCCATTACAAGTGCATCATGTCATTTGACCCAATTAAGGGGTATATTATAAGTTGAAGTAGGCATATCATTCATTCGTTCATTTTGAGGCCCTTTTTAGTGAATATCTAGATTTTTTTGTGTTGATATCAAAACTACGATCTAGTTCCAACAAAACTACTAGATAAGTTCTAAATTCTAATTCACTCCCCACAATAATAAATATTGCAATGGTTATGGCTTCTATATATTGTGTGAATAAAAAATGTTTCAAAATTTTTATTTTATTATCTCACACTAAAAATAACACCTACAATACATGGCACTAGTCCAGTTCCAACAACTTCATAATGCTTATCCAGTTTATGAGACACTGCCAGTTTATGTTCCCCTCCACTTGGGCCACAAGGCTCAACTAAAATATTATTTGAATATTACATTTGTAGCAGAACTTGAGATTTGCAACAAAACTAAATATACGGCGCAATAGAAAATTCACCATTTTGTTTGTTTTCCTTTTTCCATAGAAATTCCAAAGTATCTCATTGAAGAGACAACCTAAGATATAACATTTTATGAATGACATAAATGATGTTCTAGAATTCATTGAAATTTCTGCTTAAAAAATATCTCACTTTGAAATGTGGCTCTAGGCAGGGCTAATAAAAATCATGATTTTTTTTATAATTTTTAAAATATCAGACTTTTAAGTTTAAATATTCACATTAGGTAATTTTTTAGATTTTGTTAAGAAAGAGACAAAAAAAACTGAAGAGCTCAGAAGAACAATGGAGCTACCCCACATTGACTAAGTTCTGAGATATGGGTTTTACAAAAACTTTCGTAAAATAAATCTGACACCAAGGCCAGTAAGATCTTCCTGGGGAACTTGTTTATACATATCAAGACAACTTTCTGCAAATATGAAAATAAATATTAATATCCTGTTAATTTTTTTGAGATTAACGATTGTTCTTGTTTCGCAAATATTGGTTCTGACCTTTATATACCTTCTCTTGCAAGAAAGACTTAATTAGCCCGAATAAATATGCATGTTGATTATTATAATTATTCAGTTTATCACAGCATCTTTTTCATCATTTGAAAATGATATGAATGTACAACATTCTCTTTTGCAAAGGTTAATGTCTACACGCATTTTGGATGGCATACATTTTATTTATTTAAAAAAAAAAAATTCTTCTCCATTATTCCTCCCTTCTTTCCAGTTTCCTCGACATATTTTCCTTTTACTTAACCTTCCAATGTTTAATCATTCTTCGTAAAATTTACAATAAATTATATTTTTGATTTAAATTAATGACTTTTTGGCGAATCGTGTGATTTAAATAATTGAGACCTTGGCAGTAGATATGAAAAAAGTACTTTTCTCACATATGAAATAAAGTTGTCTTTGGTTATCATTTCAATAATACTAAAATAGAATAAGATTAATATTTTTTTTTTATCACAGGCCACCTCCAAACTGCACATTACCACATAAACCGCACCTTTAGTAGCTCCTTCAAAAGGTCAGATACAAAGGGATTCATTGGTTCCTCATCTTCATTTTCTTCTTCTTCATCATCATCTTTTTTATCATCATTATCATCGTTCTGTTTGTCAACTTTACCATTTAAAGTCTTCCTGCCTTCTAGTTTGCCACAGAACTTTGACACTAAATCCAAAATGCGTACTGCTGGGCCTTTCTCTCCATTTGCAATAGCATATTTTAAACAAAGTACAAAACGTTTTTGAAACTCCAGAGGGTTAGACTGAAATATAGATGAACGACATCTATCACAAAAAGTTACCATTACAAACAAGCATTTCAAGGTAATAATGAGCATTAACACACTTCTAAAACAAGCACTACAAGGTTAGTAAATATTACAACAAAATTGGTACAACAATTTTATAGGAAGAAAACGGGAGCAGATTAAAGGAAAATTGGGCTTACAAATTTCTTAAAAAATATTTGAAAGAATTAATTTGTAGTTTTCATACACTATAATTTATTCAAAGGATTGGAAACAGATCCTCTAGTAAGTATTTTTGAATTTCAGGGTTAAAGCAGACAACATTTTTGATTGAATTCAGACTTTAAAAAATCAATTTTAATCAATGATCAAAATCAAATGATTGACAACATTGCCACCCTTATTAAAATCAAAATAAAATTACAATGCTTTTCAATAATCAGATGTTGCTGAATACTTCGAGATGGCTCTTGCTCGTCACAACTGGAAAAAATCTATTTGAAAACTCAAAAAATTGAAAAATGCAAAAATGAAGAAAAATACTAGTCTACACATGAGTGCAGGCCATTACTGGTGGCAGTCGTAAGCATTAATTTCAGAAAATTTCAGCCTGTGTACTACTTGAAATATCACCCAATAGTTACCTCCTTGCTACGAATTAAACACTAGAATATGATTATTTGAAAATGTGTATTGGTTAACAAGTGTTCCTTTATGAAATATTAGAATATGAAGCACCCAGTTCAATACAGATTATTTCATATCTTGGCCACAAACATGACTGTAAGCAACCACATGAACAAATGTAATCCCTATTCACCAAGTACAACATTGCCGTACATTTCACTGTAACACAAAATATTAATATCAAAGGAAACAATACACATTTCGAATATAGTGTTGATTTCACATCGAAAAAAAAATTGACATGAGTTTCATGTCATTAAGAGCCCCTAAAAATGACATTCATCAATAACACGAAGAAAAAACACATATATTACCTTTTCATGGAGATCCACTAATCTTTGCAATAACTTATTGTGGGAAAGAGTGCTGAGCTGGGCTTTATCAAAAATATTTTCCACTGTCACAGTCATGATCTTGGCCACTAATGCATCGACACAGAGCAACCTTAGCTTGTCTATGACATTGACACAAAACTTGCGCAGAAAAAATCCTGTTCACAAGAACACCATTCCTTTTCCTACGAAATAAATTAATGGTTCGTTTAATGGTACACTGTTTTATATTTTTCTAAATCTTTTACTAGAGCAGCTATACAACAGCGTCGACAAACCTCGATGGCTTCGGCGACGTTCGATCGGCTCAACTTTAACGCGCCAAAACAGGGTTGTCAGAAGCGGTCGGAAGATTTGTGACCAATGTCGCCAACTTTCTAAAACTACAGTACCGGAACGTATAAGTAACGCTCTCTGTAAAGAGGGGTCATTCCACGGAAAACAAGAGGCCATCAAAACTCGACCTACCAACATTAGCTAATTTTTTAAAAATGTGCTTCATTTTAGAGCAAATATGCTTTCTGTGAAATATTAATTAATTATCTCCCATTGTTACATCACAATGCATGATTAAAGTTCTACACATTCGCATTACACGTCTGTATTATGTTATGTCCTATTATCTTAAAAGACAAAATTTGATTTTCGTAACACCATTTGTTAGAGTATAGATAGACCAATGTTTTCACCTTATAGTGTTATTTTGCGCACATTCAAAATGCAATGTTTTATAGAAACGAAAATCAGTGAACAACGATGGATATTTGTAGGCAATCCTGAAAATTTCACGAGACAGTAAAAACATTAAAAATTGGCTCCCTCCCTCAACGGTGCACAGCTCCGCGTCAGTTCTGTGCGCTCGTTGATGAGTCCCCGTGGTGACATTTGCGTCGAATCACTTCTCTGGGAGATTCAGTTGAAAAATGTTTGAGAAATGCTGGTTTCATTAACTGGGATAACACGATAAAAATCTCGATGTTCCTCCAATAGACTATAGCCCCGCAAACCTCTCCTCTAACATGTGAGCTTCCTCTTCGTATTCAACTTTCGTTGTGAAACGAAATAAAACTCCTTGAATATTGCATTGAAGATGTGTATCCCTTGGAGACTAGCTGATAGGAAAAAAAACTGCTGCTCCATCACTGAAATAATACCTTTTTTTTAATTCCAGGAAAATTTTCTTGCAAATATTCAATGGGTTTCTTTTGAAATACGTGTAGTCCTGCACTGTCATGAGTTAAATAATCTGATATTATGATAAACAAAGGTTCGATAATTCACCGTTTTCGGAATTTTGGTAATAAACAAAAAATTGTGTATTGTAGCCTGAAAATTATTTCAATGACAGCCGTGAATAGCATTTTATGTTACAAAACTGATTTTTATTTTTGAATAATCACTAATAATGATGAATTTTTTGTTTTAGACGACATGTTTCAGATTCTGCAAATAGCGTCCCTGCTCCTTTGCTATAAAATTATGAGACTTGAATTTTTGAAGAATCAATGTGTAACTTTTCATAAATAACTCTGGTGAATGTCTAACTCAAATCATCTGGGCCCTATCGGTTGTAGACCACTTCTTGTAAATTATTTCTTCGATGAGATTCGTCTGTAGACATGACTTTAACGTGCCATGAAGATTTGAAATATCTAGACACTTCTAACATGTTTACAAAACAATTTAATGAAGGATCATAACACACAATTTTCATGACAATAAAATTAATTCTGCCGATGATGGGTTGTACACATGCATGCATTACTTTGGTTTTGCATATAACACACACACACACAAACATTATGTGTACCTGGAGTTCCCGCCAGTACACAATTCTTTGACCTTAGAGAAGAGAAAGTTGAAAAACCGATTTTATTATTTCGATGACTTTTCTTAAATTTTTTGTAAAGTTCTCTCAAATTAGTTAGAACAAGTGTTTTCTGCTTTTAATGTTTTCATATCCTCATTTCGTATCTTTCATACCAGCCATGATTCTGCTTATATCACCACGATAAAATTTTGCAACAAGTTTTATCACATTATCTGAGATGCCGTTTATATTTTCTATCATGGACTGACATAATGCCCTTTTACATTTGAGTTAATTTGGCAACATGAGCTACATGCGTCCTCCTACTTCTAATACTCTTACTCCTAATACTCTCCATTTTATGGCCACAATGTTAGAATCGCGTATTTTCGTTCATGGTTTTGTCACTTGAAAATTTATCTTTAAATTGGCAAAGCATTTCTTCTCCATTTTCCCATCAACATTAAAAATTAAATTTACCACTGCATTAACAGCACTAGTTTTTCTTTTAGCATATAATTTAATCCGTAAATGTTTAAATTTTGAAACGAAGGGGAAGAGGCAAAACGGTACAAAAGTTTCTTTATACTACTAACACTCGCATCTTGCAGACAGTCATGCAAATATTCGTTGTCACTTGTAGATTTGCTTACCTCGGTTTTTCTTCATTAAATACAACAAAAATAATTGCAATGGACACTATTAATTGTGAGAAAACGATGAAAGAGAGTGTCCATTGATTGTTTATCTGTAATTCCGCTCTGATCTCTATATATACATCTGGATATGCCTTAGAAAATCCAAAAGATAAGCCTATTTCAGCGCCGACAATTTCAACACGTCAAGCCTATTTCAGCAAACCAAACATCAATCCGGATAGAGCTTCAAAAATAAACGTAAAATAAAACTGAACCATAATTCGGATATTTAGTGAAAAATGGAAAAAAGTAAATTACCTAGCTTCTCTCTGAAATCACGTATGTGAGTACAACTCTCGACGAGAAACACAATAAAGCAAACCAGACTTCAATCCGAATATTAATTCCGGAAATACACGAGAAACAAAAATGAACACAAATTCCGATATTTAGTGAAAAAAATGGAAAAAAGTAAATTTCGTAGCTTCTCTCTGAAATTACGTATGTGACTACAACTTTGGACGGGAAATTCAATAAAGCAAACCAGACTTCAATCCGACAATTAATTTCGGAAGTACACGACAAACAAAAATGAACCCAAATTCCAATATTAAGTGAAAAAAATGAAAAAAAGTAAATTTCGTAGCTTCTCTCTGAAATCACGTATGTGACAACAACTTTGGACGGGAAATTCAATAAAGCAAACCAGACTTCAATCCGACAAATAATTTCGGAAGTACACGACAAACAAAAATGAACCCAAATTCCGATATTTAGTGAAAAAAATGGAAAAAAGTAAATTTTGTAGCTCCTCTCAGAAATCACGGATATGAGTACAACACTGGACGGGAAATTCAAGAAAACAAACCAGACTTCAATCCGACTATTAGTTTCGGAAATACACGAGAAACAATAGTGAACCCATATTCCGATATTTAGTGAAAAAAATGGAAAAAAGGAAATTTCATAGCTTCTCTCTGAAATCACGTGTGTGGGTACAACACTGAACGGGAAATTCAAGAAAGCAAACCAGACTACAATCCGACTATTAGTTTCGGAAATACACCAGAAACAAAAATGAACCCAAATTCCAATATTTAGTGAAAAAAATAAAAAAAAGTAAATTTCGTAGCTTCTCTCTGAAATCACGTATGTGAGTACAACACTCGACGAGAAATTCAATAAAGCAAACCAGACTTCAATCCGACTATGAGTTTCGGAAATACACGAGAAACAAAAATGAACCCAAAATTCCGATATTTAGTGAAAAAAACGGATAAAAGTAAATTTCGTAGCTTCTCTCAGAAATTACGTATGTGAGTATCACTCTGGACGAGAAATTCAATAAAGCAAATCTGACTTCAATCCGACTATTAGTTTCGGAAATACACGAGAAACAAAAATGAACCTAAATTCCGATATTTAGTGAAAAAAATTGAAAAAAGGAAATTTCCTAGCTTCTCTTTTAAATCACGTATGTGAGTACATCTCTCTATTTGAAATTTAATGGGACAAACCAGACTTCAAACGGACTATTAGTTTCGGAAATACACGTGGCGGCCTGATGCCGAGGTCTTAACTTATTTCTAATATAGCCACTGAATATTAACATTAATGTGGATGTAAAGATAAATATGACATAAATGTTTTGCGCTTTTTAATGAATATTTTTAAATGATACGAATATAAATAAATATTTTGAAAAGGGAATGTTGATTTTGTACATCAAAATTTAAAATGCATAATATTTTTTGATTAATTATAATTTTTTCTGAAATAATGCAGTGGTACAATTTTCTTGATGAAATTGACACATTTTTTTTTTAAATAATATTTACTTAATTTGTGTACAATTTTCTCTTTTACAATATTATATATACATATTAAAAGTAATATTTAGAAATCTAAATAATTGTAAGAATAAAATTGGTTGAAAATAAAAAGAGTATACTTTAACATTATTAAAATATTGAACTTTATAGCAAGTTTATTGAAATTGCTTTGACACAAGCATAACAAATTTCATTTATGGTTTTTTTAATCACTGATAGACACACACTAATATAATTTTGAGTAGAATTGTAGCACACAAAACCAACACAAATATAATGAAATTTATTATTAAATAAATAAAATTATTTATGTAAATATAAAAATTACAGGTTACAAAAATAAAGGTTATATTTGTAACATCAATGATTTTAAAATTATTGAAATAATACATTTTCTAAACGTTTTGATAAAACTATATACATAACCTAAAATTATATTTTTAGGCAATGTTGTCTATATTACAATATATTACTGCACATCTAAACAATTGCAAAATTAATCAGAACAATAGTATAATAAATATTATTCAACTAAGAAAATAATAATAGAAATAAATGCGAAATTAATTGGAAGTATTAACTTACTTGTGAAATGTCAAGTTGCTCTTTTTATTACTGGTATTACCACAGTAGGCGCACTTCGCAACCATTTTGAAAAACTACTTACATATATTTTTCCTTTTTTGTAATATTTACATTTATCACAGACTACATTTGTAATGACAAACTGCTCAGATCACAGTTGACGCCATATTGGAAATTAGACCTCAGCATCATGTCCGCCGCGGCGCTGAAATAGGTTTCACTTTTCGATAGGCTAAGGCCAATCCAGAAGTACATATAGCGATCAGTGGTATTTCACCGAAGAAAGTAATACACTGAATTATGGACTGGGGCTAAAATTAAATGTTCCTACACTGTTTTCTACCAGGTAAAAAAGTTCGAATAATGAGTCTTTTCACACCATTGCTCTGAATTGTGGATAGTTAATGCTATATTATATACTTAGCGTTACATATTCATTGTTATGACAGACTCTAATCAGAAATGTTCATTTTTTATATTCATAGAGAGTTCGACGTACAATATACGTCATCTTACCTGCTGCACTTGGATGTGTGACTGTACAAAAATCACTATTCCTGGAACTTCTTTGGAGTCTGATTTGATGGCAATTCAACGAAATATCAACATTTTCTTTTCAAACAACAAATAACATTTATTGTAAAATTCTAATACTT